TGTCACCTTCAACATCCTTCATGTCTTTACTCTCTGTACTTGCGGCTGTATTTGGCTCCTTCTTCCCAGTATCGTGTGGATAATTTGTTGAATCATGTGATCTTCTCACACGAGACTTTGTTTTTGCCTAGGGCTTTTTGCAAATAACCTGTAAAGCCATGATCTCAAAGTAATTAATGTGACTTTGAAGCATAATTACAAATGAATACACTTTCATTTCATGTCGTGCTTGATAAACGAAAGAAAACGTAAGATGCGTGCATCAAGTGCATCAATCGAACAAAAGAAAAAGTGCATCAAGTGGAGCTAAGAAGGTAACTAATAAGATCAAGGGGCGGAGTTAGAAATTTTTTCAAAACTTGCTGTAATTATTATTATTTTCATATACTTATGTATGAGTGGTTGAATGACTTTATATAAGGAGTTGTTCGGATGTAACAGACTTATTTGTGCAAGGGTTGAGTGGGCTAATTTTCATTTAGTGGGATGAATTAACACCAAATTGTTGCACTTCAAAAACATTACATTGGGTTGGAGCCCACCTCCACCCTAGAATAAGATCCGAGTCATCTCTATAAGATTATATTTGAGCTTATATATATATATATTCTTTGATCAATTAAACTTCATGTATATTTGTCTATGAAAATTTGAAGTAACATGTTATAATACTCACTTTTATTTATTTATCTTATTATAGGAACATGTCATAATTTGAAGGGAGCATTTTGTCTTATTTTTCACTATTATTCGGTTTTCTTAATTTGTCTTAATCATAGCTTATTTTAACTATTTTCGTAAATTTTCGCCATTGTTTCTCAATTTTTTGTGGTACACAGGTTCTCAATTTTCGCCGTCGTTTCTCTTCCCCTCCCCAATTGATAACACGTGAATTGCCTCAGATTTTTTTTGTGGTGGACAAATAAATAAGGGCAAAATGTATTTATATATACATATTGGGTGTAATGAGAAAGAAGTTGGGTGCAAATAAAGTTGGTTTTGCACATAAATTTGTAAATTTAATTATCGTTTTTGCTTAAAACACCCCAATGCTTAAGGGCTCGTTTGAAAGTGATTCGGTGATAGAAAGCGGTTTTATTATGCTAGGATGATCTGTTTAATATGTCTTACAAATATACTAATTATAACTTCCATTCTCAAAAGAATCTAATGCAAACCAAAGACTAAGGACATGGTGTCCAAAGCATCCAAAGCTAATCAGGTCAATACACAAAACCAATTGCACATAAAGACATCGTATAGCTTCAAATCATCAATATTGGACCCATGCAAATTATTATGTATACAATTTTTAAAGAAAAAATTTCTAATATTTACCTGTCAAAGATTAATTTGTATAAATATAACAAATAGCATTCATGTCAATTTGTTTCTAGTTGGGTGGGGGAAATATTTTGCAATTAATTAAAAAGATGAATCAGTCGTTTTGGATGCATACTCTACCAATAAACAGTTTTTCTTCATTTGTTTTTTTTCCTGCCATTGTCACTGGTGCTGTTTGCTTGCATAATAAACATTATTTTTCATTTGGGTTTTTTTTTCTTCCTTTGTCTAAGTCAAATATTTTTATTGATATTAATATTTCTTTTGTGGATCGTCACTGACGTTATTTTTTATGCCTAATTATCTTGTTTAGAGATTGCAGAAGCTTAGAAACACTTTAGGGGTTTCATGGTGAAATGACCAAAATGAAAAAAAGTCACATAGCATACGGAAAGATAGTTTGGTCCGGGACACTAATTTACTTAATGATATTGTCATCAAATTAACTATAATACCTTGGATGAGATAAGGCCACTCATCTAAGTGTGGGGTTTTATTTCAAAAAACCTCACTGATCATAATCACTCTCATATCCATAATTTTTATCGAACCACACAATCCTAACACTCCATATCGTGTCGATATTTGATAATATATGATCAAGTATTGTAAATTGATGCCCTAACCAATCACTCCCCACTTTACATACTAATTTAATTTTGGAATCATTTAACTATAACAACCAATATACTTAGGAGCAAAACACATGTCAGTTTTGAACTTAAGAAGCATGGGAATTCTATGCTTCTTATAGCAGGAAATGTACAATCATGCAAACATCAATTCACATATACGTATAGATGCAGATGTTATTTTTGGCTTATATGCCGTCTTAGCATGTAAGACCTAGTCATAAGTGATGACTAGAATACTGACTCTTTGAATCTCTCTCTCTCTCTCTTCAAGGAAGAAAAATTTATTTGTTTGATGCAGATGAGCAGATATAGAATGAGCAACATGTTTTAAGAACAATTTGAATTCATTTCTTATTCGGTGTGAGAATGGCAATGCAGCGTTATTTGGCAGTGGCTTCACCACCATCTCCAAGTTCTGGTCATTCTCATCAAACTCATATATTGGGAGGCTTTGTTGTTGGCATTTTGACAGTCTTGGTGGTTGCTTTGTTATTTTACTTGATCAAGACGAAGCTCTTACCAGCTCTCAGGCACAGGCAATTGCCACAGAAGCTTGGGCAGAAAGGTGAGCAGAACCCTCAGTTTGCAGCAATTAACATTTTCCCATTTCTAAGTAATTATAGGCCCCACCAAGTTAACCCAATTTTTGCACACTCTTCTTGGAAAACCATGAAAGAAATAAGATTGCACATTCTTCTAGCTTATTTGGCTAGGTAATATTCTCTTAATTTATCAAATACTATCAAATGTACAGCATGTTATGTTATTTGAGTGTCAAATTAAACATCGTGGATTAAAATTTAAAAATAAGAATTTACTAACGCTTCAAATTGTTTGAGAAGAGAACGTTAGTTACAATTTTTGTAAAATGCAAAGACCTTGAACTAAAATTTGGGGTGTGACTTCATTTGTTTGTCTATTAGGAAATTTGAAAGAAGAGAAAATATTGCTCAGGCGGTTCCAATTAGAGGAACTGGTGAAGGCCACCAAGAACTTCAGCAAAGATTGCTTGTTGGGTTGTGGTGCTTTTGGAAGTGTCTACCAGGGGACTTTTGATGATCTGCAGACACTAGCCATTAAGCGAACCCACGCTGATTCGTTTCAGAGTGCAGAAGAATTCAGAAATGGTGAGCCTGAACCAATATATAATAAATGTGTCACACATCAGAAGAGATTAAGATTCACAAGTTGCATATTAATCTGATTTCTGTGTAGTGTTTCCTTGAACAGAAGTGAGGCTACTTTCTAAGGTCAAGCACAGAAACCTTGTAGGTTTGGTTGGATTTTGTGAAGAACCATCTGGTACTTGCATGCATTGTGCAATTTTCAGGTCTTGCCCTCTCTGTTTCCAAAAATACTTCCTGCATATTAATATGGCTGAATTGTGATTTGGGATAGGAGCAAGAGGAGGAAAAGTTTTGATCTATGAATATGTACCAAATGGTTCTCTACTTGATTACTTTATGGGTATGTTCCTTCGCTTACCTGAAAATTAAACTTACTTTGTTACATGTTAATCTTCCTATTTAATTAGTAAATTTATATGTAGGAAGAAAATGGAGGAGCTTAACTTGGAGGCAAAGAGTGAACATAGCCATTGGAGCAGCAAAAGGTTGGTTGCATACAGATTTTATGCTACAATTAACTGATTACGTTTACAGAAAGAAAAAAAAATGATGACAATAATAAAGTTGGTTGTGCAATTTTACAGGCATTGCTCATTTGCATGAAGGGGTCAGCCCAAGCATAATCCACCGTGACATAAAGCCGAGTAACATCTTGATAGGAGATGGATTTGAAGCCAAGGTTTCAGATTTTGGACTGGTGAGATCCGGACCAACTGGGGATCAATCACATGTCAGTAGCCAAATCAAAGGAACTCCAGGATACCTTGACCCTGCCTATTGTTCAAGTTTCCATCTAACCCCATTCAGTGATGTCTATAGCTTTGGTGTCATACTTCTGCAACTTGTTTCTTCCCGGCCTGCAGTCGATCTAACGGGACATCGCCCTAAACAACATATCATTGACTGGGTAAAAATACTTAAACGTTGTTCATTGTTAGAATGTAAGAAACTTAAGATCTTTCTAATCCCAATAGGGTAAACCAACAAACTTCATAACTCATTGCTAATAAGGACTGCAAAACATTAGCCTTTGTTTTGAGTTATAGTGAATAAGTATTGTGTTCTTGAATGCAGGCAAGGCCTAGCATAGAGCGAGGTCATGTTGAGGAGATTTTAGATGCTAATCTTTTAACAGAGCCATGCAACACAGAGATGATGCTAAAGATGGGACAACTTGGCCTACGATGTGTTGTAAAAGTACCCAAAAACCGTCCTACAATGTCCGAAGTGTGTCAAGAACTTGAAGAGGCCCTCTACAATGCAGACAACTTATTCATCAACAAACAGCCTTCAAGGGAGTCTCGAAGATCAACTGGCTCTCGTCGACCAACAGAGCCAGGGCATAAAAGATCGATCGAGTACGATCAGTCTCAAAACTCCGTGAGCATAGATGGCATTGGATTTCAGAGGTTTCATGTGGACATAGATAGCCTCTCCTTTCAGAGCACAAGCTTAAGGTGTTTGGAGTTGGACAATAGTAGTATCAGTATCGACATTGATAATTTCGAAGATATACATGAGGAATCTAGTAGAGAAAAAGAATTAAACATGTAACAGATGTAAGTTGATGCCCATGTTTTTCTTTCCTTTGTGTGCGCCTGTGTGTGTGTGTGTGTGTGTGTGTGTGTGTGTGTGTTTGTGTGCGCGCGCGTGTGAGAGAGAGAGAGAGAGAGAGAAGTTCCAGTATAACTGTGCTTCTGATTTGTGGGTATATTGTGAATTTGCTGAATTGTGATATATTATCAATTCCTTAAAGTTCCATTGTATCTGTGCAGATTGGGGGTACATTCTGAGTTGCTTGAGTGCAATATATTCTCATTCCTTTAAGAAGCACTATTATCTGTACTTTATATAAAAACATTTCGAAAACTATATATTGTCTCTACACAGCAAGGGCCTGCAATATATAATCATTTCAGTGAGCAAGTTTGATACAACCTATCATATGAATAAATTCTTAAAGGTTCCTAACATTCTCAAAAACCTTTGTGCATCCGCCACATCTATCATCGGCTTCAACAAGTCATTTTATGATGGGTTGGTATTTTTTTCATCAAATCCCATTGCGTTTTCACTGAATGCTATAAGGCCATCATACATTTTCATAGCACTCTTTGAAAACTCGGCCAAGGCTTCAAAAACTGAAGAAAACCCTGTCTGAAATCCATTCACAGCAATATGTTGTGTCTCATGCATACTGGAATGATGTTTCACCTTCTCTGCCTCTAGCCTCTTCCTAAACATGTCCAACTGGTCCTTCATCTCACTCAAATACTCGATGCGATTCCGTACATGCAGTTCCGTTTCCTGCTCGGAAAACTTCAACCCAAGAACCCTTCTCTCTGTCCTTTCAAATGCCAAAACCTTCCTGTCAAGTTCTCTGGCAAGTCCATCAACCTTCCTCTTTTGTCGATGCTCTTCACCTTGTTGAACCATCAGGGCTCGGACATCCTTCCCAAAGCTTTTCATGGCATAAGTCACTGCTTCATCAGGTAGCTTATCCAGGCAAGCTAGCCAATCATGACAAATTCCAAGTAATGTTGGCCCCTTGACTCTACATGTTTGAAGTGAAGACATACCCTTCAAGTGGAATTCAGTTTCAGGGGTAACAAACTTGAAGAGCCAACCAGCAAGAGCTTCAATATACGCCTTCTGTGAAGAAACATACGAAGCAAAGCAAGCACGCCAATTTTGAAGTTCTGCTTCAAGCTTAAGAGTAGCAAGCTGGTGTGAATCATTGCAGAACATTCCATAGGATGGAAGGTTGAGAGATTTCACTTCAGACATGATTCTGTTTTGGGTTTCATGAGATTCTGACAGTATCTTCCAATTTCTCATTAGGCTGCAGAAAATGGGAACCGGAGGTTATAATAAAATTCAAAACAGGCTTCTTATACCTTACTAACAAAATTCTGACTTCTATCTTACCCATGTAGCAGATCAACAAGTTGTGGCTGCAGCTCTTCATCTCTGAGTTTTTGGATTCTTTTGGAGATTGATTCAGCACTTCTTAGGGCAACCAAAATTCTGGTATACAAGTCTTGTACTTCAACTACAATTTTGTTCCCAGTGTTGAGGCCATCTCCTCTAGTATCTTGGTTTCTCAACTGGGAGCATTTTCTCTCATATATTCTCCTGGTTTCTTCTCCAGCCTGAATATATAAATTGAAAGATGGTGGTCATATATTCTCAAATTATTTTGTGTGTCCAAATGGAAAGGGAAACAAAGAACCCAAAAACTGATAGCTCGTCTACATTTGTAAGCCCGGACCAATTTAACTTATAAGAAGCAGAAGTCAAATACATTAATCTGATATCATTAGGCTACCAATGTAGATCATCCATCCCAAGAAATACGAACAGTCATATAAAAGACTAAATGAAGCAAAGGAATGTTGAATTCGTATTCTACCTTCACCTCCTCAAAGAGTTTCTTCTCCCAAGCATATAGCCTTCCTAGTGTTAACGAATGACTCCCAGATCCCATAACTCCATTGTCATCAAAGAGATCATTATTGAATTGAGTCCACGTTGAAGAACTTTTGGAGCTAGATGTAAGGAGACTTTTACAGGAGGAAGACCAAGATAATGTGGATGAAGTGGAGCGGCTCCGTGTGATTGACCGCATGAGCTTACTTGAATTTTCTGCACCCAAAATCATAGATGAATTGATAGTAGAGCTAGAATATGATGGGAATCAGTAGGTCTGCACTTTGCTGCACACGACAACGATAACTGATTCAAGTAATTCATGGAATACCAAATAAAATGTTCATGGGACAACTTGACCAGAAGCCAAGTTACTGACCTGAAAGCCATCAAAGGTAAAAAGGGATGGGAAAAAGATCACAAAAAGATGTAAGTTCAACAGTTCTACATATGCACAAGGGAAGTAAGTTGTTTTTTTTTTTTGGGGGGGGCATAAATAGGATGGAATGGATATGTTGCTGGAAAAATTGCAACTTTTTTCTTATGCAATCAGTAATATATCTCAAAAGGTCTTATAATCAAACCCACATATAGACATGAATTTACCACGAAAGTAAAAATAACAGACAACGCATTTGTTGAGGGAAGACAGAGATATAAAAGAGAAAGACCCCACCTTTAATTTCCTCCAAGGCAGATTGCATTTGAACCATGTTGGTCTCTAGCATCCTGGAAACATCCAAACCAGAATCATAGGCCCTAAGGAAATGGTCCTCAACATCTTTCAATGCTTCCAACAATTCCCTCCCATTTGTGGGTGTATCAATCACCCTTAGACCATTTTGCTCCCCTTGGCTCACATTAGCATCCTCTCTTTCTGTTACAGCCTCAGTCCCACCATTCTCTTCCTGACCCACATCACAATTACTTAAATCTCCAATCTCATCACTTATTACTCTTTCTCCATCATCTTCCAACTCAGGAATCCCTTCTTTCTCTCTCACCAGTCTCAAATCCTCATCAGAGTTCTGACTCAACCCATTTCCCATCTCTGTTCTCACACCATCAAAGAATGGATTAAAGAAATCCCACCCAAAATCTCTCTGTGGTGATGCCATTGTTGGAGCCATCCCACTATAAAAATGCTCACAAGCCACTTCCTCCTCATCAGTCTCACTATCATCATCACCACCCTCTTCATCTTCTTCTCTGCCATTTGGGTTTTCTTGCAGTTGTTTTTCTTTATCTACCTTTGGAGGGCTTATAGAATTTGCAGAATCAGAAAATGGGCAACCAATGGTTTGGTAGTTGGGTTCAGATGGCCTCTGTTGAAGGAACATGGGGTTGTTGGAGATGACGGTCTCAGTGGTCTCAGAGGAATTAGTAGAAGGAAAAGTGATGAGAAATGGAGAAGAAGGAGAGGAATGTCTTGCTACAAACAACCTTATGGCAGCTGCTACTGCATAGAGAGAGTGATTGTACTTGCATTGTGCATCTGCAAACGCATACCTGCGCTCTACAGCCAATTTCAACTGCCGTTTTCTCTCTTTACAAAGCAAAACTACATCTTCTTCTTCACCTTTCTTAGACACAACACAACCCATGTCTCTGTTTCCTCGGAATTTAGAGATGTACTTTGGTAAAAGGGGTTTGGTTCAGCTTGGCTCAGTGCAAAACAGGTGGTGGGTTATGCTAAACAGTAAAACTAATGCTGAAAGCTGTGGCCTTTGGTAGCAGAGAGAGAGAGAGAGAGAGAGAGAGCGCCAGAAAGTGGTTTTGGAAAAGCTGTTGAGAATCACATCATATCAATATAACTGATACACCACTGTATAAGTTTGTCCTCTGCCCCTGGCTGAAACATGGAGGTGGGTTTGGTTAAGTCTTTTAGCACAGGTTTTGGTGGGAAAGTAAGAGAGAAAAAAATATGGGTTTGTCAGAAAATGAGCCAAACTGATATGGCAACCAAAATCTCTCACACCATTGCATATAATAAGAGGAAGTTACATAAAAATCTGAACCAAAAGTAGCCCACTTGCTTCCTTACCATTCTGAGAGTCATGTTTAAGCTGTTCTGTTTAATGCAGCCTGAAAAAAACTGAAAAAACTTTACTTCCCTGCCATATTTAGATTCCCACATTAGCAATTTAGCACATAATTAAGGGGTTAATTAATTAATTAACAAGGGTCTCTTGCTTAGTTGGTGTGTTTAATGTTCCATGAAGGCATGCATGCATGAATAGTTGACATTTGTCAGTCAAAGACTGAAACTTGGTATAAAATGTTTTATGGGGTGGCTCATCTGTCTGTCACCCCCATATAATTAAGAATTTTTATGAGAGGGTTAGTGAGTTCTCTGCACCTTCTTCTTACATTCCATAATATTCCTTGTTCAGCTGAATTAAATAAATCTATCTTAGAAAGAGAACAAGATAAGAAGATTTGTATATTGAGAAATTGTTGAGATGCCCATAAAACCATATCAGTAGAGAAGACTTGAAAACCCCACCATTAAGCTAACTAATGGGGGAGAATTGGTCTACCAAAAGTCATATTTAACTCTTCCCATTAAGGAACACTGGCTGCACGAATCAAAACTTTTGAACATGGCAGGCTTACCCAAAAAAAAAACCTTGACCTTGGAAGAAGGCAAAATGTACGGATGTAAATAGCCCCACCCACCTCTTTTTTACCATCAATTGCTTGCATTCTACCTGGGTCAAACTTTTGAGTACTTATTACTGTTGGTTCCATGAGCTCGCATCACATGAATTGATTGGGATTTGAACTTGGAAGATCTGTTATACTTATGGTGGTGAGTTAGTCAAATGGATTGTGCCAGTTGATTAGGGTACTGTCTTTTTACATTTACGTTTGAATTTTCTTATCTGTAAGTTAAATTAATTTAAATTATCGTTTGCATCAAAGCAAAAATATCGAAGAGCTCAAAATTATAATTGAGGGTAAGTAGAAGCCACATGACATGTTTAATTAGAATGAGGTTAATAGAAGAGTAGAAGGGTTAAAATTATATGGACAATACTTCCCTCCTTACCCATAAAGAGGAATTCCTTCTGGCCTAGTGATGTGGCTCAATCACAAACTAACATGTGCTTTTTTTTTTCTTTAAAAATATTTTTCTTTCTTCTCTTTTATTATTCATAATTGAATTCTTCTTCTTTGTTTTTTAATTGCTTTCATCTATACCACAAACCATCTCTTTAGTTTTTCATAACTAGGCAAGGAGACATTATAGATGCATTTTAATTTCGTATTCTACGGTCTCTACAACTCAAAGTTTGCTTGATTAAAAAATGTCTATATCCTTTCAAAAAAAACCCTCTATAAAGAAACTATGCCTACCAACATTGTCAATGGTAATTTGGATGAAGGTGAATTGTTGGGGTTGGAGTTAGAAAAGTCCACAACAAACATAAAATTTAACTTGAGGTATGAAATAAAAAAAGAAATTAGTTATGCTAATGAAAGAGAAGGGAAAAATACTGAGACTATTGAAAAAAAAAAAACATGTCAATTTGTGATTGAGCCACATTTTTAAGAGGTCCTCTTTATAGGTAAGGAGGAAGTACTTCGGGCACTGCAAACAACTTTTTTGTTTCAACAAATACACAGAGATTAGCTTGGCAGATTGAAACAGGAAGGTATACAGCTCTAATATTATGGAGAATTGTGCCTAGAAAGGTCTCTCTCTCTCTCTCTCTCTCTGTCTCATATAGATTTATGTGAATATGCTATGTCACAATCACAGTGATAAAAAGCCACTCTTGGAAATCTTAATCTATTTACTCTCTTTTAAGAGAGATTAATAGTAATACTGACTTAATTATGTATAATTATAGATGGACCACATCACATGGTAAACACTGTATATTGTTATAACGAATCCAGAACACTCATGGTCCTGCACAGATATTGCCTGCACTCAAAAAGTTTCCATGATAGGTAGGTAGGCTGGCTTTTGTATATTCTGTTGTCCCCAGCCAGCCATTGTTTGTTCAGATTTGACTATTGGATTCTTGGGCTTGACAACAGACAAAAGGTAAAATAAAAAGGATTCTTGGGAATCACCAGACTGATATAAAGAAGTTCATCCAAAAGACAGAGTGCATCAGATCAAGTTCCAGCAAAAAGAAGGAAAAAAAAAAGCATGAATCAATTCTTAAAATTTGCTCCAAAATAAAAATAAAAATAAAGTACCTAGCATTCTGAAACCCCCTTATGCAATTTTTTTTTGGTTCATCAGTCATTTGTCATCTCCCCTTATTGGATTCTCACTGAATCGCACTGAATGTCATTCTATTCTAAAAGCTCATCATAAATTTTCATGGAAGTCTTGGAAAAATCGGCCAAGGATTTAAAAACTGACGAAAACCCACTTTGAAATCCATTCACATACATATCATGTGTCTCCTTCATGGCGGTATGATGTTTCGCCTTCTCTTGCTTTAGCTCGTTCTCTAAGCTATCCAAGTCGTTCTCCTTCTTTTTCAAGGGCTTCATCTGCTTTTGCTCATGCGGTTTATCTTCTTGCACACGAAATAACTTTAACTCACTCATCTGTTTATCTAGTTCAAGTTTCGAAGCCTGCATACGAAGTTTTTCAGCAAGCCCATCAACCTTCCTCTTTTGTTGATGCTCCTTACCTTGTTGAACCATCAAAGCTTGGACATGCTCGCCAAAGCTTTCCATGGCACCAGCCACTGTTTTATATGGCAGCTTATCTATGCCGTCTAACCAATTATGACATATTTCTGTTGTTGGTAGGACGCTTACTCTACACGGTCGAAGCGAAGACCAATTCTCTGAGTAGGCTTCGGTTTCAGGAGCATCAAACTTAATCATCCAACCATCAAGAGCCTCAATGTATGCTTTCTGTGAACAAACATATTGAGCAAAGCAAGCACGCCATTTTTGAAGTTTTACTTGAAGCTTTTGAGTTGCACGCTGTTGTGACTTTCCATAAGATGAACACTTGAGCCATTTCACTTCGGACATGATTCCGTGTTGGGTTTCATGAGTTTCTGACATGATCTTCCAATTTTTCATCAGCCTGCAGAAAGTAGGAAAGAGGAGGTTATAACAAAATAATTCAAAAAAATTCAGACTCGTCATGTATTACAAATAAATTTATGACATCTATCTTACCCTTGTAACAACTCAATAAGTTGTGGTTGCAGCTCCTCATCTCTCAGTTTTCGAATTTCTTTAAATATTGATTCCGCATTTCGTTTGGCAACCAAAACTCTGGACTGCAATTCCTCTACTTCAACTCCAATTTTGCGTTGAGTCTTTTGGCCACGTCCTTGGTTTCTCGAATATTGGGAGCATTTTCGATCATATAATCTCCTGGTTTCCTGTCCATCCTGCACATAAAAATTTAAAGATGATTCAAGTTATTCTCAAATTATCTAGGTTGTCCATATGGAGGAGGGAACACACAAGCTAAAACAATCCTATAAATTAATGATCAAGTTATGAGAAATTCATAAAACTGAATAAAGCAAATAATTCTTAGATTCATATTTTACCTTCACCTCCTCATAGAGTTTTTGCTCCGAAGCATATAGCGTCCCTAGTGTTAACGAATGGCACTTGGATCCCATTGCTCCATTGTCATCAAAGAGACCACCATTCAAAGGGCTGATTGTTGAAGAACTTCTGGTGCTAGATCTAAGGAGGCTTTTTCGGGAGGAAGACGAAGATAATATAGATGAGATGGAGTGGCTTTTTTTGAGTTTACTTGAGTTCTCTGCACGCAAAATCATATAAACATGAATTATACACCATGACCAAGCAAATCAAAATAACAAAAAGGGCTTTAAAAGAGAAAACCCCACCTTCAGTTTCCTCCAAGGCAGATTGCTTTTGATCCATGTTGGTGCCTAGAATCCTGGAAACATCCAAACTGGAATTATAGGCCCTAAGGAATTGGACCTCAACCTCTTTCAATGCTTCCAACAATTTCCTCCCTTCTCTCACAGCCTCATCATTCAGCAAAACTAACCCCAATTCTTCCCCATCAGTCCCAGCATTATGATCCCTATTCTCTTCAACTTCTTCTCCATCATCTGAGCTTTCTTGTAGCTTTTTTTTCTGTCTATCTCTGAAGAAGAGCTTCTAGAAATTCCAGAATCAGAAGAAGGGTAAGCATTGGTGTTTTTGGTTGGTTCAGAATCAGAATCAGATGGAGAGGAATGGCTTTTTACAAACGACCTTACAGCGACAGGTTATAATTGCGCTGTGCCTCTGCAAACGCATACCTTCTCAATTCAGCTGCCGCTTTCTCTCCCGACAAAGCAAAACCACATCGTCTTTTTTACTTTGCTTAGAGACCTTGCCACCCATGTCTCTGTTTCCTCTGAATTTCGCTTAATTCTTTAGAACGGGCTTTGGCGGGAAAGTAAGAAAGAAAAAGTTGGGTTTGCAGAACTCAATTGAAGTTACAGGCTTAGAGAGCTTCAAAGTATTGTCTTTGTTTGTTCATGGGTGATTGTTTCAAAGAAGTCCTTGTTTCAAAGGGTGATTGTAACTTTAATTTTGGGCAACTCTTGTTCTTAGCCGTTATGGCAGTGTTTGGTCATCCCTTTCCTTGCAATCATGGGAGAGTGTTGAAAAGAAAAAGGGTAAGTTTCTGGGGTTCGAAACCAGAAACCTCTTTCCATGCAGAAAGTGAAAATTTAATTTCCTTCTTTATTTTTTAAGTTTTTGGGCACTGCAATCAACATCATGCAGAGCTTTCCATTTCCAGGGCTGTCCTTCCGCATGATTTACAAAACCCAATGCTCTGCATGAAGTACACAAAGAAAAATAGAACAGAAAACGAATTCGCAGAGAAGATTTCCTCAAGAAAGAATCTCGTGTTTGTCATCTTTGAAGCTCTACATCTTTGATTCTTTCCTTATACCTCTGCTCAAGATCTCAGAAACTAAAGTAACATACATGTTCAAGTTAATTGTTACATTGTACAGTGAAAAAAAATTGACTGCACCTTCCTTATCTCTCTTGGATTTACAAGCTGATGGTTCACCGGAGCTCTCAGAAGGACTCAACAATAGGTACAATATTACATGAGCCGGCTTCATGAGGTTTCCATGGAAGGGGCAAGAGTTTTTGCAGGTATATTAATACCACGTCCTCTCACAGACAAACTAGGGCCTCTAGCTGAGCTGGCTCTGCTCACAAGGTTTGAGTCAAGAAATACGACTATGACTGTTATGTCGTCGTGGAAATGCCGGCGGACACCACGCTCTATTTTCTTCAAATCTGAGTATCTCATTTCTCTTTTCTTGGCTGCTTCCTGCAAGGCAGTTTTCACAAGCCTCCGAGCACTTCCCTGAAAAACAAGAAGAGAGTAAAGTCACATTCCGTCTCTTATTTACCAATCATAATATGATGTTTCAATTCTACACTATTCTTTGCTGCTCCTGCATTGTTAATCATACACCTATCAATACAAGCATATATATCCCCCTCAAAGCCTGCTTGCCCATCTAACAACTTGTTTATTATCAGTAACAGCATGTATGGGCACACTGATCCTATCCTAGCCAGATAAAGCCCAAATATAGTACACCGCACAACTAGCTATTCCATTTAAATAAACATATTAAAGCAAAACAGAAATTGCATCCAACATTGAGACAAGTATGTTACGCTGCGTGGGTGATTTTGAACTATATCAACCGCTTCCTGGTTGCTAAGGTGCTCCCACAGCCCATCAGAAGCAAATATGACAAATTGATCATGTGGTTGAAGTTCATGTACAGAGATCGATGGTTCAGAGCTTAAAATTGGCCTTTTAAAAGGTTCACGTAAGCGAAACTTGGTATACAAAGGCTCCCTGTTAAATTCAGCCTTTTTCAGATATATGTCACCAATTGATCTAGAAACCTGCAAAAGACAAATATCCTTTTTCTTTAAAAACAACAATTATGAATAACAATAAAACATTCAATTATGAATCATAAATTTTGATCCATTAAACACCAAAAGTAAAGAAATGTTTAAAATATTTCACCTCGAATAATAAATTTGATGCATTAAAAACCTTAAATAAATAGATCTTTTAAAGGGACTTCTCCTAAATAATCAGAGATCTCCACACTATTTCATTAAAAATAGTTCTACAAAGTTCAAATTGTGCTTCTTTTTTCTGAAGGGCTAATGTAATCAATCTGCTGAACACTGGTAACATCTCCATGTGCTCAATCATTTCTACTATTGAAATATTAAAATAATAGCAGCTCTAAGTCAATCTAAGTCAACCCTGATAAAATCAAAATTTATCACTGCTTAAACCACTCTCAGGCCAGGTACTCACGGATAATGTCAATAATTACCCATATGGCATCTTTATTCTTCAAGTAAAAGCAAAAATTAGCCTACAAGTCTATCTACTAGCTCAAAGGTCTAAGTACCCGACATGAAGCCAACATCTTAGCCTCCTGACATGTGAGATATTAATACCACTTTGTACTATTAAGGACCACAGTTCTCTTCCCAAGAATCCCAAACTGCTAAGTCATTTCAATCTTCTTGTTGAACCATTAAACAAGTCAATATCAGGAATACAAAATCTGTCATGTGTAATTTAAGATGAAACTATAAAGAAAATGCTTTCAGTGAGATGGAAACCCTTTACGAGTACTGAAGTACCTGTATCAATCCCTTTACGCGCCATACATTATGCTTTAAAACTACAATATGTGAGTCATCTGGGTGCAAAGAATGCATCTCCTGTCTGACAGATTCTATGGCCACATTGTGCTCTGATGACAGCTGGATGGCACGAACCTCCCCAGTAGCCTTCATAACTCTCCCCAGCACAGCTCGGGAGTCACCAACATTGGCAATGTAAAGGGTGCCACCACAGATCACACCAACAAGGCAACAAGACCCAACAGCTGCAATTTGGGGTTTCATAGGCCACTGTTTGGTAACAACAGAGAGGAATCCCTCTTCTGTCGCTTGATATGCTTTCCGTATCACATCCACTGACATGGACTGTTGCTCTGATGTGAATCCTAAAAAAAAACAAAGTCATCAGCAATGACTTCATTCCAATCTCAAGACTCATCACTGAAATATCGATAATACACATCCCCTGAATTGTAGTAAGGAGATTCATTTAATTCTGGTAAAATGAATCCTAACATGAACGAGTTTGAGCGAATCCAATTTATTCATGCAACAAAAACTTTTATACTAAAAAGCTCATCTGGGACTGAGATAATGCAGCTTACTTTTTAGATTCTGGAATAGGTGATCATTGATGTATCGGGAGGTCTCAGGACCGCCATGACCATCATATATTCCAACAAAGGTGCCATATGGGCCAGACTCCAGCGTGCTCAAGGGACCAGACTCAACCTGACTCTGATCCTCAAGCAAACTGTTGGCCTGTACAACAGCCATTGAAAATTCACCGTTCAAGTGTTGCCCGTTGTCTTTGTACCAAAGTAACCCATCTTGTCTGCCAACTGCATCCGAACCTGGCTGTACATATCGGTATGAGGATGGCAGCCAGCAGGCCCTCAGAAAGTTCATCAACCTTGATAACATCCCTCATTTCACCTGGGCCAGCCTCCAATGCTTCCACATCCAAAATGGATGCAAAATCACTCCCAACCAAAGACCCCACCACCAGCCTCCTCTCCTGAAGAACAAAAAATCTACTATAAAAGGGAAAACAGCCAGTTAATATAGGCAATAAAATCCCTAGCTCACGAAATTTGATCATATACTTGACCACAGAATCAGCTTACTATGTAAATTCAGTTAACAGTCTCGTTCAACCACGATGATAAAATCAGGTACAAAACATCAACCCATCCACATTTCTGCTAACAGGCTCAGAGGGACCATGACCCGAATGTTAATACTACCTTGAAATGAAGAAAGCAACATAAGCAACAGAGAGTTTTGGGAAACAGTGGCAGTCATATCTACCTCTCTATATCTCACACTTCAACCATACAATTATTCACACACTCACAAAAAAATTCAGCGACTTTATAACATCCACTAACAAATTACTAACCTTTTTGATAAACCAATCACAAAAATAACAAAACAAAAGAGAAAAAAAT